CCCCCCCCCCCCCTCCCTCCCCCCACGAGGTCTCCCGTATGTGTGGTTTGGCCAGGGTGAGGTTTGGAGCTTTTGGCAACTGTTGAGTGAAACACGGTAATGCTCGACAGTTGAAAAGATTCACGACTTCGGAGGTTCTGTTTTGTCTCAGCACCAAGTCAGGAATTGCAGGTTTTCGAGCTTTGGAGTGTTACTGTTCGGTGAGTTTCATCTGGAAGATTTTGTGATTCTTGGACATTGAACTGCTTGGTTCAACCCCGGGCCCGCGAGAGGTCACTTGACTGAGCAACTCTATGAAGAGACTGCTGACTTGAAGACTTCGATCCATGTTTAACTGAAGCTGCCTCGAATCCTCTAAGGAGATACCGATCACTCTGTCCATGGCTCCTGTTTGGAAAGCTGCCATTGGTTCGGGTCATAGGGAAAAGATGAGCCCTCTGCGGTGTTCAACTGATCCAGGCTAGAGGCACGGTCTTTTGTGAAGGATAGGGAGGGCCGATACACGAGATTGTATATTGCAGCAGGATTGTCGGAACTCCTCTTCTTTGCCAAGGAGCCGTTTCACAGTTTGGTTTCTGAAAGTGGAGTTCTCGCTCAGCGAGGAGCTCTCCCATTCTTGCGACAAGGAAGGAGCAGCAGTAAGAAACGAGAGGTTTCCTCGGTTTCATATATTGAATAACTTTTGGAAAAGGAGCTATTTCTTCGTTTTCCTTCTCACATAACACTAGACCTGCAAGACAACAGCAGCACCCGAATTCGGGTGTTTTTTATTTCACCTTTTCGCAACAAACCCAAAAAAAAACATGCTTAGTGTACAGAAAGCACTGCACCAAAAAAACTGTGTTTTTCAATAAAGATAGGTGTACAGGGACATGCTACGACATGATACAAATACGAGAAATCACGATAACAGAAAACAAGAACATAATGAATGTGTTTGCACATGTCCGCATATGCACATATCCACAACCAGATCCAATTGCTGTTGCTGCTCTTGGGCCTTGAAGAGGTGCGCATTGATGATCATGGCACCCAGCAAGTGCTTCTTAAACTTCCATAGAAGCGAGGTGCCTACAGGGAGTCAGACGCCGCTTCAGTTTTTGAGAAACCTTCGCCTCATTTGCCAAATCACCAGCAACACCACCAGCACAAGTAATAGCAGCTACAATGACATGACTTGATGGTCAAGTTCTGTTACGAGGACTTAACAATACGGGAAATAGACAGTGGGGCATAAAGTCGAACTGACTGCTGCAATGGCCTCAATAGAATCAATAGAATACAGTCTTGGGGCACACTAGACAAGAAATACGATGAGGAACCCTAAGAACTAGTATTAGATAAGGGTTTAAGTTTAGGGGTTAGGGTACATGATACAGTATTACTGATTATTCAGGCTTCTAGATAACAGCTGCGTTCCTTTGACTCGAAGCTGCAAACTCTTTGCTCCAGTGCGTAGACGCAACTTAAACCATCGACCGTCAACCAAGCCCTAAACCCCTCAACCCATCTCATACAGCTTGGAATCGACTTTGAAACCCAAAACCCTAAATCCTGAACCTTTGGAACGCCCCATCCGTGATCCCGCGCCTGGTCCCCAGCTGCTGTCGACGAGCACAAACTTTCTCGGCAAGGAAGGCAACAGGCCCTCCACGACACGGGCCAGATCGGATTGGAAGGCCTTTCATTGCAAGAGGGTTTAGGGTCTACGGTTCAGGGTTGATTGGGGCGAGGGCGTAAAGAGTCGAGATAGCGTTTGGAGCTTTGGTTTCAGCATGGCTTTCTGCTCGCTGTCTGGAATCTCTGGTTCTCGGAAGGTGTGCACGCAATCAGCAACAATGTTCTCCGAAACCGAGCGTCCATGCAATGTCATTACATCTGCGTATGCACAAACACGCATGTCTCAACATACATGCATGCATGCATGTATTACACACATACATACATACAGACAGAAAGACATGCATACATACTTCAAGGATATGCAAGCAGACATACACAGTTACAGGCATGAGTACAAGCATTCATACAATACATACATACATACATAC